TGGTTCTAGGAGATAGAGCATTAATTGTTCTCTTTACATCCTGTACTTTCTGGAGTCAAAGATATTCCCTCTACAGATGCTAGAGTTTTTTCTTTCTATACCCATGAAATTGGTGTATTTTATTTGGATAGCTGACTTCACTTAAAGAAAAATTCTGTACTCATACCCATATTTTTTATCTGGAAGAGTGGGATCCAAGTGGAATAAGGACATTTTTACATAACTGCGGGGACCATTTATAATACTCACCTTAGTCCACATTGGACACTGTACTGAGTACTTGGTGAGAAGTGTACTGAAGCAAATGGTCACTATTTTCCTGTATAGGACCATGTCCCACCAAAAAGCGAATCCAGGTGCCCAAACCAGATTGAATTCATTAGGTTTCTTTTTGACCAGACCATCACTTTGAGAGGTAGCTTGGCCTGCAGTTTCTCTTAGGGGGAAGAAACATCATGTCAAGAGATAATCAAGGCAAAATCCTAGTATTTCAAAAATAGGTCTGTATAATTCAGAACTTTTTAAAAAAATTTTTTAATCCTAATTACTACCTAAGAAGTGGCTAAGAAGAGATGATCTCTTTTTGGGTATGCTGCATTCGTTGACCAGAGTGTCTCATTAAAATGTGTGAAGAAGGGTGCCTGGGTAGCTCAGTCATTAAGCGCCTGCCTTCAGCTCAGGTCATGATCCCAGGGTCCTGGGATCAAGCCCCGTATCCCCACACCCTGCTCAGCAGGAAGCCTGCTTCTCCCTCTCCTACTCCCCCTGCTTGTGTTCCCTCTCTTTCTGTGTCTCTGTCAAATAAATAAATAAAATATTTTTTAAAAATAAAGTGAAGAGTTAAGGAATGTAGAGTTACAGATCGTTCTGAATTGAGTGTTGAGGAGACAATTCCTGTTGTTCGGATAGTAGGAGGTGTAGAATGTTGAATAGTAGTACTTGAATATTGACCCATTACAGGTTGACCTTCATGACAAAAGATGTACTATTAGTGGAATATTGATGGTTGCAAAAAATGACATGGATTAATTTCAAGGGTCACAGTCATGTGACCAGAGTTAGCCAGTCAGCTTGCAATAGCAACACTGTAACCTGAAAAAATTTCAACAGTGATGAAACACTATTGATAGCTTCAAGAAGTGATCAAAGGTTTGATGTGTATTGTATAATGTGGCCTCCTTGTCAGTGGGACAAATGGACCAACTTTTGGCAGGCTCACAGGTTAGCATGCAGGGAAGGCTTATGCATCAGGAAGAATAAGTGGTCTATTTTGTTTAACCAACTCAGCCACCCAGGTGCCCCAAGTGGTCTATTTTGTGACCGGTCTGCATGTCTGGTGTGATGATTGATTTAGGTAGCATGCTACGGACTTAAGCAATATTCTAATTTTAGTTGTTCTTTATGCCAGCATATCTTACTGTGAGCATCTGAGTGATTCAGATTCTCTCAGCAGCAGCAACAGCAGCTTCAAAGTTTATAATCCCAAAGAATTACTTTTATTATGCTAGTCTCTAGTTTTCAGGTGATCTACCAGATGACTTAGGACATTGGGCAAGAGTCCAAGAGGCAGAAAAAACATAAAACGTCTGGTGGTTAAGACTTAACCTAAGGCTAGTGTTGTATTTTCATTTTAGCTCATTGTGCCAAATGACACTGATCCACTTGGTCTTCCAGAGTTGTTGAGGCCGGATGGCTGCTGCCACCCAGTGGACACTGTTCTCTTTCCTCTTAATGCAGTTGAATCAGCAGTGAACCAGACCTAGGCGTTTAGGGGACTATGATTTGAGAGCATTATTGAACCAGGAGCTTGTTATACCGTCAGGGAGGGGAATAAGGTTTACCCCCAAAAAGGCAGTTGCCACTTCATGCAAAACAGATGTTCCAGTGGCCAGGTTAGCTGCATGCTCAAATACTTTCCATCTGATCAAGAGCTCTAATGGTCCCCCTTTTCTGTTCTTAGTTTGAGTTCACTTTCATTTAAGAGCTCAGTAGGGCAGGAACCATATACCCTTTAAAAAAGGGGTGTGCGTGGCAGGCACATGGCACTGCTGTACTGGAAAATAGCCTCTCTGAATATTCCACTACTCATCATATTTTCCAACTATATCTCTGCCCCCCCCCCCCTTCTTCCTTCTGGGGAGCCTATAATGTTTTTGCTAGACTACCTGGAAGGGGACAGGAATCACCTGTCATCCTGTGGTATTTCCTGAATGGAAGAATTTTGAGCATTTTCAGTATAAGTATGTAACAGTTAGTACAAGGTTAAAACACAAAAGCAATAGTACATTGAATTGCCCTAAAAGCCTCACCTGCAAGATCACTTAAATTTGTCTTTCCGATTGCTGAATTTTTTTCAAAAATTGGGGCACCTTTTCTTACTACAGTAAGAGGCACAGACTGAGAAGTTTTGTACAAGCACTTCAGGGTTAAAATCCAAGCTTTTGGGAGATTACATGAGTTCTTCATCTGTGAATGTGGGAAAGTGCAGGGTGGAGGAGAAGATAACTCCTTTGGGGATTGTATGCGTGGTTTGTAGGCTTATTGTTTCTCTTCGGATTCTTCAACCCATGGTTGATGTTGTTTCTTCTGTGTACCTTCTGGCTTCAGCACAGAAGGGCCTTTCCTGCCCTCATGTACCATGCTGACATAATCTCTTCCCATATTCCTCAATATTTTCAGGCACCACATGCTTAGTACTGTCTCATTCCTCATGGGAGTGGGTAGATGATGACTTGAGCATGTGTTTCTCACAGAGTTATAAAAGTTTGTCCCTTTCCTTAAATATCAGCATACTTGACATTCTTAACTTGTCAAAGCTGTTAAGGTTGATATTGTGGGGAGGGGAGGGATCAGGGAGTACAAAGGGCACAGAACACTTCCACTCCAGAAGCTAGGTTCTGCATTTATTTTGTTTCCAGGTAGGCCGTAGCCTTAACAAATTTTCTTCTGATGACTTTTTAATCTTTCTAAAACTCTGTAGCCTCATTGCTGTCCTCTGTTTAATCTTTGGAGTTGTCTTGGCTTAGCAGCCACAGCCGTGTTGCCCTTCAGATGGGACCCCATTGTCATAATAAAAAATCCCAGTGTTTTTTACTTGGGAGAATTACCAAACCTAAAACACTTTTGGACACCTTGTTTCAGTTCTACTCTTTGCCAGTTGAGTAGACCCTTACTTTGAGGGACCCTTACTTTCATTCATGACTTGGATGACAGCAGTTGCTGCCAGAATCTTGAGAGTCTTTGCTTAGGCCCTAATGCAGCCTGGAGACCCTTGTATTTATTTTTTCCAGAAAATTAAGCTCTGTTAGCGTTACATCCTCACCACCCAGACTATTAGGGGTCTGTGAATGGTTTGCATTTACCCCTACTTGAAGGCCTACCATAGTAACATGTTACTGTTTCATGGATACTGGGTGAAGATATGAGATAATCAAGGGGACTTTATTTTTCATGGCACAATAAATAGCATGAGGATGAGGTTGGGGGCAGTACGGGAGCAGCACCAACAAGTCCCACAGTATCAGTGTGGAGGAGCCCGATGGATGACATGGTAATGTGCAGTGGGTTTACATTGCAACAGAGAGACTCTGCTCATTGTCCTGGAGGTGGTTGTAAATAAGTCCAGCCCAGAGTCAGGACACTTTAAGAAAAGGTCCGAAGTTTTGGTTATGATCTTATCAGATTAATGGGTTAATACTGTGAAAGAACAGCAACCTTTATAAAAAGTTGTTATAAAAACTTTCATGGTTTTTATAGATTGCTAATTTTTAAAAATAGTTTTTTATTTACTTATTTTATTAAAAGCTTTTATTTAGGGGCACCTGGGTGGCTCAGTCTGTTAATAAGTGTCTGCCTTCAGCTTGGATCGTGATTCCAGGGTCTGGAATTGAGCTCCGTGTGGTTGGGCTGGTTGCCCATCAAGGAGCCTGCTTCTCCCTCTACCTCTGCCTGCCGCTCCCCTAGCTGGTGTGTGCGTGCATGCTCGCTTGCGCGCTCTCTCTCTCTCTGACAAATACATAAAATCTTAAAAAGAAAAAAAAAAGATTATTTGAGTGAGTGAGCATGAGCAAGGGGCAGTGGGGAGAGGCAAAGGGAGAAGCAGACAGATACCCTGCTTAGCAGGGGCCCCACACAATGTGGGGCTTGATCCCAGGACCCTGAGATCATGACCTGAGCTAAAGGCAGATGCTTAACCAACTGAGCCATCTAGGGGCCCCTAAAAATAGTTTTTATACATTATTTTTTTTTTTTTAAGATTTTATTCATAAGTAATTCCTCCATCCAGCCTGGGACTCAAACTTAGAACCCTGAGATCAAGAGTTGCGTGCTCCACTGACTGAGCCTGCTAGGTGCCGCCATATAATATTTTGATAATTTTTTTTTTTTTTAATTTGTTAGAGAGAGGGAGAGAGAGCAAGCACAGGCAGATAGAATGGCAGGCAGAGGCAGAGGGAGAAGCAGGCTCCCTGATGAGCAAGGAGCCCGATGTGGGACTCGATCCCAGGACGCTGGGATCATGACCTGAGCCGAAGGCAGCTGCTTAACCAACTGAGCCACCCAGGCGTCCCTATTTTGATAATTTTTAAAAAACATTTGTTTTGGGGAAGAGGAGTTTGGAAATAAATCTGAAGAACTTAGAATTTTAGCTTCATTTGCCATAACTTTCTGATACTAAAGAAAACCTTGAGCTATTTAAATCAAGTAATATATGATACAGAGTTTTTACATTTTGTTATGTAAGAGAAGTACACTATGTTTGCCTTGTTTCCCTTAGAGTAGCATTTTATTTTTAAAGTTTTTGGGTAAGTAGATGTTGTTTAGCTCTTTTAGAATGATTTCCATTAGACAAAATAAACCAGCAGTGGAATCTATCTTAATAAGTTACCAGTTATCAAATACATTGAAAGTAACTACAGAACGTTCTTAACCATTTAGAATTTTGGAAATAAATTAAGCCAGGTTCTATACATATGTTCACCAGTGGGCTTACTTTGTTTCAGTCGTCAATAAATTTTGAGAAGCATTCTGAAAACTTTTCATGGACAGAAAATCGTTATGATGTGAATCGTCGACGACACAACTCTTCAGATGGCTTTGATTCTGGTATTGGACGTCCTAATGGAGGTAAAATTTGCTAAGAAATAAAAGTTTAAGGATAATTTTCTTCATGTTCTTTTAAGAATGTTGATATTGATTCAGTATTTAAGCAAAACCATCTTTGAATTTATAATACTTTACCATTATTAAATAAAGGTAATTTTGGAAGGAAAGAAAAAAATGGATGGCGGATGCATGGAAGAAATGGTACTGAAAACATAAATCATCGAGGGGGATACCATGGTGGAAGTTCCCGTTCTCGTAGCAGTATTTTCCATTCTGGAAAAAGCCAAGGACTACATGAAAACAGCATACCTGACAACGAAACAGGGCGGAAAGAAGACAAGAGAGAACGCAAACAGTTTGAGGCTGAGGATTTTGTAAGTTTCTTGTAGTTTTAATACAAACGAGCTTTCCGCAAGTGCCATTTTAGTATCAAGGCTTTCTCATGATTTTGTCATTATGGTTCATTCTTCATAGAAATCACACCAGACAGGTTCAATTATTTTTTTTATTTTTAAATTTTTATTTACTTTTTAAAGATTTATTTTAGAGTGGGTGGGTGCATGCATGCTTGAGTTAGGAGCAGGTGAAGGGCTGAGGGGAGAAAATCTCAAGTGGATTCCCTGTAGACTGTGAGTCTGATTCGGGGCTGGATCTTATGACCCTGGGATAAATTATCTGAGCTGAAATCAAGAGTCAGATACTCAATTGACAGAGCCACCCAGCCTGCCGGCCCCCTTCCTCTCCCCCAGGTTCAGTTATTTTTAATCCTTACCTTTGTGAGGCTCTTTGTTTATATAATTTTCTCTTTGTCCTCCTGCTTTCTTGTGTTGTGTCTTATGGTAAGATCTTTTAAAAACTTTCATTTCTAAAAAGCTTTTAAGCTTTGGAAAGAATTTTTTTCTTTTTTTAAAGATTTTATTTATTTGACAGACAGAGATCACAAGTAGGCAGAGAGGCAGACAGAGAGGAGGAGGAAGGGAAGCAGGTTCCCTGCTGAGCAGAGAGCCCGATGCGGGGGCTCGATCCCAGGACCCTGGGATCATGACCTGAGCCGAAGGCAGAGGCTTTAACCCACTGGGCCACCCAGGTGCCCTGGAAAGAATATTTTACCACTATGTTTTGTTTAGACTCTCTCTTTTTAAATAATACTTGATTATTCATACATTACTCTTAAGCTAATTCCGCGATAACTCTCCTTATCTTTAAAGTACTTTATTCCAAAGTTTCTTAATAGTCAGAGAAGGCAAACTAATTGTTGGCCTAGGTTCGATATAATTAGAAATGTTAACTCTACTCTTGGGGTGCCTGGGTGGCTCAGTCGATTGAGGTTGAGCGTCTGTCTTCTGCCTGGGTCATATTCCCAGGGTCCTGGAATCGAGCCCCATGTTGGTGTGCCTGCTTAGCAGGGACTGTGCTTTTTTCTCTCCCTCTCCCTCTGCCCACGCTCGCTTTCTCTAAAATCTTGAAAACAAAAAACAAAACAAACCGCAAGAAATGTTAACTCCACTCTTAAAAACAAGTATGAACTTGATGCCTGGGTGACTTAACAGACTTGTTAAGCGTCTGCCTTTGGTGCAGGTCCATGATCCCAGAGTTCTGGGATCAAGTCCCACTTTGGGTTCCCTGCTTGGTGGGGAGCCTGTTTCTCTGCCCCTCCCCTGGCTAGTGCTATCTCTCTCTCTCTCTCAGGTAAATAAAATCTTCAAAAAAAAAAAAAAAAAGTATAAACTACTCAGAGACAGAGTTTTCTTAATTTTTCCTTACTCTTAAGTCTCACTGTGTGAGTGGCTATCTAAACACTGTACTTCTCCAGTTGTGTAAAAAATTGATCTAGTGTAAAATCTTATTTAGTATTTTTTGTGGTTCATCCCTGGTAATTTATTTTTCTGTATCTATTTGAGTGGCTCTGTGAATCCAGCTGTCAATACATGGAACACGGTAGCAAGGTGCTTACTTAATCTCACTGAATTTCTATTCTGTTAGATATATTCATGACATAAAAAGAAGTAATTAGTATTTTGCAGAGAATTTAGGTAAGAAGTGACTGGGTGGCTACTTGGGAGGTCAGGAGAGGTTTCTCTAGGGAAGTGACATTTAATCTGGGATATACTTTTTAAGCAGTGAGCTTTGTTAAAACTGGAAGGAAGAGGAAGAATTAGTGCAAAGGCCTAACTAAGGTTGGGAGCGAGCTTGTAATGTTTAAGGGATAAAAGTTAGGTCAGTAATGGATAGTGATTATTAAACCAGGTTAGAGAGGTAGCAAGAGGTTTTGATTGATTAGGACTTTGGCAGATAAAGGTAAGGACTTTCAGTTTAATTACAGATGCAGTAGGAAAAAGCCCTTTTGGAAGAAAATCATTTGATCTCATTTTAAGTTTTTAGAAGACTGTTTTAGTTATTGGATCTTGAATGGATTACAGGGAGAGAAGGGAGACCAGTTAGGAAGTGGTTGATGATGGCTTGACTTGGGTAGCTATGATTAATGAAAATAATATTTTGGTTATGTTTTGATGTTCGTTTGGGTGGAGGGTAGAAGCAAGTCAAAGAATTTGATAGATTGGATTTGGGCAGGGGAGTGGTGAGAGAAAGAGAGCAACAAAATAATATTCAGAGGTACTGTAATGAAGTAACTTTGGAATTGTTATGCCTTCCCATTTTGGTGGTTCATTTTTTTCCATAAGATAGAATTTTTTTTTTTTTAAAGATTTTATTTATTTATTTGACAGAGAGAGATCACAAGTAGACGGAGAGGCAGGCAGAGAGAGAGAGAGAGGAGGAAGCAGGCTTCTTGCTGAGCAGAGAGCCCGATGTGGGACTCGATCCCAGGACCCTGAGATCATGACCTGAGCCGAAGGCAGCGGCTTAACCCACTGAGCCACCCAGGCGCCCCATAAGATAGAATTTTTATAATATAAATAAGGAGTGACCACAGTATGCTCTCAGTGTTATGAAAGTTAAATGAATAATGCAGTAAACCACTTCAAAACAGGGTTGTGACACACAACAAGCATTCAGTGAAACCTTGTTGCTGCCATTACTGTCTCACCCCCACTTCCGAGACGGTGATCCCAGCCCTGAAGATAGATAGACTTACAGTGTAATTTCTAATGCTGTATTTTTTAGATATCACCTATAGCTTCCACCAAAGTCTTCTGATACCTTAGTTTGTATCGAGAAATCATACTAGTATGCATGCATACTCTTCTGGGACTTTACAGTAATGTCAACAGTGTTAATAGTTCACTTTTGTGGGTAAGGAAAACACATTAGGATTCCTTTTATGCAGCATGTTAAGTACCTTTAAGACAGCCTGTATTGCTAGGTAATATGGAAAATATCTGACTGGAAATTTATGATTCTAAAATTAGTTTTAGAGAGCACATTCAGTGCTCAACTCAGTTTTTTAATACCCTGTGAATTACTTGTCGAAATAAAAATTTGTACTTTGAGTGTGTTAACTAGTGCATCCAGCAGTGAAAATCTAACAACTGTTGGGGAGTAGTATGATTTTTCTCTTCCTTGCTCTTAACCTTAGGCTGAGAGGATAATTTTTCTAGTTGGTGCAAAGATCACATTGTCTTATGTTTGCTCTGTTTTTTTTTTTTTTTTTAATTCACACATTCCTTTCAGATAGTTGAGGATAAAAATACTTATGTATTTATGTATGTATTTATTTATTTTAAGATTTTATTTTTTCATTTGACAGAGATCACAATTAGGCAGAAAGGCAGGCAGAGAGAGAGGAAGGGAAGCAGGCTCCCTGCTGAGCAGAGAGCCCTACGCTGGGCTTGATCCCAGGACCCTGAGATCATGACCTGAGCCAGAGGCAGAGGCTTTAACCCACTGAGCCACCCAGGCGCCCTTATATATTTATTTTTAAAAATACTTTATTTGAGAGAGAGGAAGAGAGAGAACAAGCCAGAGGGAAGAGGGAGCAGCAGGGAGCCCAGTGCGGGGCTTGACCTCAGGACCCTGGGATCATGACCCAGACAGAAGGTAGCCACTTAACTGACTGAGCCACCCAGGTGCCCTGAGGATAAGAACATTTGTTTGCCCTCTACAAGTGAGGATAGTAACATTCTGATGGTTAGCAGAATAAGCTGGAAGTAAGGTTTATGAATAGTCTTTTAATAGTTAAGTGTTGATTGTGCATACCAGGTATGTGTTTGTTTTTTTTTTTAATTAATTTATGTGAGAGAATGTGCTGAGTGTGTGCCTGAGAGGGGGAGTGACTGGGGTGGGTAGAATCTCAAGCAGACTTCCTTGCTAAGTAAGTGCTAGGGCCCTCAGGGGGCTCCATCCTGGGACCCCTGAGATCATGACCTAAGTTGAAACTGAGTTGGTTGCTCAACCAATTGAGCCACCCAGGTGCCCCTTCAGTATGGTTTTGAGATTACTTTTAAAAGGTTTATTTATTTATTTTTTAAAAGATTTATTTATTTGACAGAGTGTGCGTGCCCAAGCTGGGGGTGGCAGGCTCCCTGTGGGATCCTAACATAGGTCTGGATCCCAGAACCCTGGGATCATGACCTGAGCCCAACGCAGATGTTTAACCAGGTGAACCACCCAGGTGCCCCTAAAAGGTTTAATTTTAAAATATGTGGGCAGAGGGGCGCCTGGGTGGCTCAGTCTGTAAGTGTCTTCAGTGTCCTCAGCAGGAAGCCTGCTTCTCCCTCTCTTACTTCCCTTGCTTGTGTTCTCTCTCTCGCTGTGTCTCTGTTAAATAAATAAAATCTTAAAAAAAAAAAAAATGTGGGCATTGTGACTATTTGTTTTCTTTTTATTCTGATTTCTTTCAGCCGTCTTTAAATCCTGAATATGAGAGAGAACCAAATCAGAATAAATCTTTAGCTGCAGGTGTATGGGGTAAGTGATTTTTAATCTATCTTTGAGGGGTATAAAATGTTACTTGTAGGTTTTACTTTTTTGTATTTTTAAAAATATATAGGCTGGAATTAACTTACTCTTTTAAGTATGTTTTTGAGTGCTCAGCTACATAAAAAGGTAGCACTTAATCTTTTACAAACAAGATACTGGGATAGAGTTTGATTTGAAATACTTGATTTGCACATATTAGTACCATTAAGTATACTCGTGAGTTTAGCTTTTCTTTTTAAGGGTTGTAAGTTAATGTAATCAATGTCATTTCAAGAGCAGCCTGATAATCTAAGGAAACAAAAAACTTAGTTTAAATTAATTTTTAGTTTTTCACAGTTGAAAACTTACTTAATTGGAAAGATAAGTACTTCTAATCGTGTGACATAAAATTAATCTTTTTACTTAAGAAAATGGTTATACATAGAGAGTATTAAATAATTGTATAAATTTGCCTGTGGAACTAATCTGTGTTTGAAATTACTTGCCTTTTTGATTGTCAAAGCTTAATGACATTTTTTGGGTAATAACTCCCTTTTCATTAAAACTGCTGAGTTTAATTTGATAGCATCTTAAAGAAGATTAAACTGCACTCATAGTATAAATCAGACAGCTTTTTAAAGATTCAAGTGAAGTTTAAAATAATGGAAAAATTTTAAATAACGAAGATTTGATACCTGAAAAATTAATTATTTGATGCCAAATTCAAAGGTGATGAATCCACTTTGGAACTTATACACATGTTCATTTGTATTTTTCCTATTGAAAATTATCAACTTACCAAAACAAAAGGATTGTGGCTTGTGATAGCATACTAGTCCTAATGACGAAGGCATTATTTTAAACTTTGCCACTTCCTCTGCTGTTCTTTATTGTATTTATGGGGTGATACTCTGGGGAGTTACTTTGTTTTCTTTTAATCTCCCGATTTATTTAAGGGCTTTTTGAGGGTGGGGGTGGGGGTGGCAGGACACTTTGTTAGAACCATGTGAATGGCATTGTTTTTTCTGTATTGCAAATTAGTATTTCTACCACTCTCCCCAGGCCTACACGCCCAGACACACACATACCCAACCAAAAAAATCTCCCAAGCTCCTCTCTTAGGTATGTTTCCTTATTATTCAGTTTTTCTGGGAACATCTGATTGCTTAAGAATATAGAACCACCTGGAAAGTGTTAAATAGAGTCTCTAAGAAATTAGGAATAATTTGGATTTGATTAGAATGAAAGTAAATAAAAAATCAATGTCAGTGAGCATTTGTCATATAAAACTACCTGTAGATACGATTGGTACTGATCCTTGGTTAATTTAATAATTTTAGAAATGATTTAAAGGCAAATACATCTTTGAAAATATTGAAAATAAAATGTATTAATATAAAGATTTTGGTTCTACTGTTTCAGGGTTGGTCTAAGGATTTTGAGGACTAGTTGAAAAGATGTTTTAAAAGGAAGATGTACTCTTTACTGTGCCTTAGGTAAACTAAGAAGTGTGTCTGCATTAGAAAAAAGAAAATGGTTAATTGTGGCTTGATCAACTGTTAAATTCCCAGTACTTCCCTAGAATACAATGACATTTTCATTGTATTACACTTCACTATTCCTTTCTCCCCCCCCCTCCCCCAACCCCGGGTTCCCAAATACTGTTTCCCCATTGCAACATTTAAAATAACAATGTTCCTGAGGAAGACATGAGAGAATTTTAGGAAAGACTTCAATAGAACTTTTCTAGTGCTACTTCCTTCAGGTAAGTAAAAATTTAATAACGGAATGTAATATGTAATAAAAAACAAACTAGTTTGTCCCTGAAACTGTTCTTTAGTAGATCAGAAATTGCAAGAGTAAACAGTATCCCAACTGGGGGGAAAAAAAAAACACCTTGAGGGAAAGTAATTATCTTGCTTAAAATACAGTTACATAAGTTTAATTCTACTTAGAACTTAATTAGCTTTTTTGGAAACACCTTCATGTAGCTTTTATCTGTGACTTCTTTATTGTTCTGATCTTAATTAGGATCACTGTTCTTAGGTGCCTAAATTAATGCTTACTAAATTAATCTATCTTTAGGTCCTTATTAATTTAAAACTAAAAGAAAAAGGTACTTGAGTGTGCCTGTGACAATTTTAAAAAATTAAGTTGTGTGACTGATTTATTTGGGAGGTGAGAAAGAGAAAAAATGATGTGTATTTGTATGCTGTTTGAGACACAATTTGTGACTGTTGATATGTGTGTTTTCAGAGGTCCTACTGGCTATTTTTGTGTTGATGAATTATGTCAGCAATATATTACTGGCAGAGGCTAACATTTAGTACTTAGTTACTAAATAATGAAAAATTTCATTCACTAGTAATTAGCTAAAGCATAGTCTTGTTTCCGCCCAGTATTTATTTTTGTTTCTGTTCATTGATAACTTGATCTTTCCTGATTTTTGCTCATATTTGATAATACTAAAGAGTACCAAGGTTCATTTTTAAGCATTTTTGTTTAGCTTTCTAAAAGCAAATTAGTGACTATTTCTTAAGATAGGTTATTTTCTATATAATAAGTATAAAAATCTGTGATGGAATTTTAGAGAATTCCAATGATATTAGCCAAAAGCATCAGATTGGGTGACATAATTATATTGAATTAGATCATGATGACAACCAGTAAGTTTTATTTTTCTTTTTAATGAACTTTGTAAATAGAATTAAGAGAAAGGAATAATCTTTAATTTCTTTGTAAAAGCATTTTGTTGGTAGTTTATGTGTGGAAATGGCTCTACTTTTCCAGTAATATCTTATATGAAAATAGTTGTTAAACTGTAACAAGAAGAAGAAAAAGGTACTGCAACATATGTTCAAGGTTGAGAAGGGAAAATTAGTAGATTTTATTAGACATTTTGACAGAAGTAAATTTCAGTGGGTCAGAGTTAGAAATATTATTTATTCATCCTGTAAGTTACTCTTTTGAGAAGTGTGAGTAATGTAGGGGACCTTGTTAAGGTAAAACACCATACTCCTCTCTTGGCATAAATTATAAGTTAATGAATCTCATTTGTTTGAAACTCATATTACTATAAATCAAATCATCAAATTTAAAAAAGTTGAAAACGAAAAAGATTAAAATAGCATCAATTTATATAAATCAGAAACAGATTTTTCTGCATTAAAATTAGTGTTCACAATAGGAATTTGTCTTAATTTGCTGTGGTATAGATTGAGTTTGATATTCGTGTATTATTGTGTTTTATGTGACTAAATTTCCTCTTCAGATTAGTGTGAAAATTTAATTCTCATGTAATTCACCCATTTGGCTCTTTTGCTTTTGTTCAAATTGCCTATTCTCTTAGATCAAGATAATAAGGAACCTAAATCAGTAACTTGGCATCAGGAAACAGTGGACTTTGACCTCATTTGGTAGTATGCACTTAAAACAGGCTTCTCATTCTGAACATTTAGTTATAGGCCTATTTGTAGTATTTTTAGTTGGGGATGGTAAACATTTCGAAGTATTTGGCCTAGTCGTACTTTAATTTCCATTTTTTCCACTAGTATAATATAGTGGTTAAGGGTATTTGCTTTGAATCAGATAGACCTGTGTCCAAACATTAGGTCTTTTACCTAATGGTTATTCAGACTTTGGACAGATGACTTAATCTGAGTGAATTTTCTGTGAGATGAGGATGATCACAATAATTTGTAATGAAAAAAAGCATTGTTAATATTGGATAAAATATTTAAACTGTGTAAAATCCATCTATTATATAAAATCCTTGATCACATTACATGTGTAATGACTATTAGCTAAGTAATGTTCAAATCTAGTAAGCAGTGCGTATTCCAATAGATTTATTAAAAAGCAAAAGGAATTTTAAAAAAAAAATATTTTATTTATTCATTTGACAGAGAGAGACCACAAGTAGGCAGAGCAACAGAGGGGGTGGTGGGAAGCAGGCTCCCCGCTGAGCAGAGAGCCCGATGCGGGGCTCGATCCCAGGACCCTGGGATCATGACTTGAGCCGAAGGCAGAGGATCAAGCCACTGAGCCACCCAGGCGCCCCAGCAAAAGGAATTTCTAAGTGAGAGATCAAAGAATAGACTGAATCAGAAAATCTATAGAAGACACCTACGTGGAGAGTAGTGAAAGAGGATGAAAAAATTGAGATGTCCTCTCTTAACTGTACATGTTTCCAAATTATTTTGTCCTACAGATAGCACTATTTTAATTACAACTTTTTCTCCTAAGAATTGAGCTAGTTCTCCTCCCACCATTGACTTTATATTTAAGGAAAAAGACTATTCATAGATCTTAGGAGAGCATAAATAACAAGATAATAAAAGGATATTTAAGGTCAGTTTTTGTCAGATTACAGTTTGTGAGGATACTGGAAAATGATGGTATGAAAATCTGAAGCCAATATTTGTTGTATTGTATTCAGATGTTTTTTATTTTTATTTTTATTTTTTTTAAAATATTTTATTTATTTGAGACTTATATTTAAAAGAGAATACCAGCTTATATGAGCTTGAGATAATAAGGTCATGTAGAAGAAAGTCCCTGAGATGACTTACTTTCTAGTTTTTTTTTTTTAAATTTTTTTGTTTAAGTGTTAAAAGTCCTTAACCAGTACGCAAATTTTGTCTTTTAAATAATAAGCAGTTTGGGTTTTTTCATATCGTTTACCAGTTGACAAAGTAAGTGAAGAAAGTATAGAAGGAAACATTGGATACTGTTTGAATCCAACAGCTTAAGTACTTGGAAGATTTATGTCAGGAGAATTTGTAGAGAGAATCTGAACAGATGAACATTTGACCTTTGAACAGTGCAGGAGTTGGGGACCTTGATGCCCCCTCCCACCTCAGTTGAAAATCCATGTATAACTTTTAACCCCCCTCAACTTCTAATAGTTAATTGTTTGGAAGCCTTATACTCTTAGCACGGGCAATTAACACATATTTTGTATATTACATGTATTATAAATTCTTTTTTTTTTTTTTTTTTAATTTTATTCACTTATTTTAGAGAGTGAGAGAGAGAGCACGAGAGCGGGGAGGGTCAGAGGGAGAAGTCTGCTGAGCAGGGAGCCCAGTGTGGGACTCCCATCTCAGAACCCTGGGATCATGACCTGAGCCAAACGCAGGTGCCACCCGACTCTAAGCCACCCAGGCGCCCACATATATTATATATTAAGTTCGTTGGAGAAAAGAAAACATTAAGAAAACCTGCATATAGGTGGACTGGTGCAGTTCAGACCTTGTTATTCAAGGGTCAACTGTAATACAAAGTGAATATAAATGACTCGAATTAAGTTTGGCAGTTAGTGCTGTCATTACCCTTCACATTACTTTTATGATATGATTGCTATTAACATGTTCTCATTTTTATTTTTATTTATTTTGAGAGAGAGCCTGTAGGTGGGGAGAGGGAGAGAATCTCAAGCAGACTTGGAGCCTGACGAGGGGCTGTGTCTCAGGACCCTGAGATTGTTACCTGAACTGAAATCAAGGGTTGGGTGCTTAACTGAGCCACCCAGGCACCCCAACTTCCTTGTTTTTAAATGTCAGGCTCTCTTTATTCAGGACCGTTGCACAGGACACAGTTAGTCTGTGTTATGTTTATTTCTGTCACAGTTTTTCTTCATAATGTTAAATCAATCTAAAAGTTGATACAGTATTGAAATATAATTGGAAGCGTATTGTAATGGGGATAGTATTTGACTTTTTTGGACATTTTTTCTAGTATTTTTGTAAAAACTTCACAGTAACTCTATAACAGGAACTGTTTTTCATTTTATCGATGAGAAAGTTCATAAGATTAGAGCAGGATTCTATAAATTTGGTACAAAGTACTTGTTCTTAACCTGTACTATAATATTTCAGTAAGAACGCCCAATCAGTGCATTAGCACTGTGTCTATTTCTTTTCCCTCCCAAACCCTATCATCTTCCTTTAGATACCTTTATCATCTTTTACTTTGTTACTTAGCCTTCTGTGATTTATTTCTTAGGCTTCACTTTTCTTCTTCTCCTTCCCCCTTACCCCCTTAAATAGGCTTCACACCTGATGTGGGGCTTGAACCTCAGGACTGAGATCAAGAGTTGCACGCTCTACTATCTAAGCCAGTCAGGCATTCCTTCACATTCTTTTTTTTAATAGCGTATTCTGCCTTTGCACTGAAGGCCTTTTTGGGGAAGAATCCGGAATATTTCTTGCTCTAGATGTGTAAGAATCCAAATTCAGGGAAGTGAATTTTGTAGTCAGGAACTACATTGAGGCTTAAAGATAATACACCTGTTTGCTTATCTATTCTCTTTCTCTTTGACCTTTTAATTTTGATTGTTTATGCACAAAATTTTTTTTTCCCCTTGAACATTCAGCCTTCCATGTGGGATCATTTTCCTTCTGCCTGCAGTATATTGTTTAGGTTTTCCTTAGTAGGGATCTTTTCTTAGCGATTGATCTTTTTTTTTTTTTTTTTTTTTTTTTTTTTTTTTTTTTTTT